TTGAAGAAAAGGTTCATCATCTAAGGTTTGATTCAAGTTGGAAAGTCTACTCATGTAGATTCCTTCAAGGAGAAGTTACTTGAAAAATATTAGGATATTCAAGATCAATATTCCTAATGAACATGAAGTGCAAGGCCTAATTTAAGATTTCTTCATCCAACTTTGTTCAAATTCTATGTTCAAGTGGAATTCAAAAGGTCAGAAGTTCATAATTCAAGACTTCATCCCTTTCAAATTCAATGGCATAAGAGAGATACATCATTCTAAATTCAAGATTCATGAATTTAAGATTAGATTCAAGAATATTATAAAGGGAAATTTCATGACATTACAAGAATGTCATATTTGTTACAAAATTTCTAACTCTAAGCAATGCTTAGAAAATTAAGCTATTTCTAATCTTAATTCAAGTTTCTAATCAACTTCATGCCATGGTACCCTTCATGCCCCATCAAGTCCACATGTTCCTCAGTATGCCTACAAACATCCAAGGAAAATAATTAAGATTCAACTTAACATTGGAACATTTCAAGATCAAGACTATGCATGCTTAGTCATGGGCAATTTTAATGTGATCTAAAACAGTCTCATGCAAGAAGTGACAAAATTGCTTCATAACCAAACAATTCATGTCACAAAACCAAAGGTATGGACTTATGATGATGCATCTACATGTCAAATATTAGAATTTCAAAATTTTGTCAAAAGGTAGAAACATGGACCACAAGGGCAGTCCAAGCACAAGCAAACAAATGGGTTCAGGATTTGAGGGCAATACAAAGTGCAGCAGAAAAATCAGGCCTAGGCAAAGTGCAACAGCTAGTGTAGAAAATCAACATTCATGAAAATAGAAAAAAAAAGAGTGACATCAAGAAAGTGGTAAGAGGCATTTCTCAATGAAAAGTCTTAAGCTTTGAAATAAGTGAGAACCCTATTGCTTTGACTATAAGGGGGAGCATTCATTGAGAAAAAAGGAGGCCAGACATATTGAGAGAAAGAGATAAGAAAAACCAGAAAAAGAAGAGAGAAAAAGTCACATAGAAACACAAGAGAACCATAGAAAAAAAACCAAAAAAAAAAGAGGTTGAGAAAGAGGAAAGAAAAACCATTGAGAGAACAAGAGAGTGATAAAAAACCAGAAGAATAAAGTGAATCATAGAGCACATCCAATAAAAGTCATTGGTGGTTAGAAGGAGAATAGTAATTCTTGGGTATCATTTCTTTCAACTCTCCTCTCTTTACATATTTGCATGTTTTATTTTCTCTTTTAAATGATATTTGTGTTGTGCATATTGTGTTGAGGTCTCAAAATTTGGTTTATGTTGTAAAAGAAGCAAAAGAAAAGAAAGAACATAGGTTGATTATTGTATTGGAATGAGTTGAAAAATACTCATTTTTACTGTCATGTTCGCTGGCAAGTTCGCATAACGAACTTTGGTGCATTTCCCCTCTGTTTCTATGAAAAATGCGTATCCTGGGAACTTCTTGATGTTTTTTCTGGGCAGATTCGCTGGCAAGTTCGAACAGCAAACTTTCCCCCCTTTCGCCTTTATCAATAGTGCGTGTTCGCTAGGAAGTTCGCACAACGAACTTCTTGTTGTATTTTTTGGCAGCTTCGCTGCAAGGTTCACACAACGAACTTCAGTGCCTTTTGCTTCTGTTTGTGAATAGTGTAATAATCTGAAAAACCCTAAGAACTTCATGCTGTTTTTTTTTTTTCATGTTTTGTTTTATTTGTATTTTCAAGTCGATTAACTCAATGTGGTTTTACGACCTTTGTATGTGGATATTGTTACGGTCATTTTTGGCTTTTAGTTCCAAAAACTATTTTCAAAAAAATAAACTCTCGATTTTATCGAGCCATTTTCAATCTTGTAAGTCGATTGCTTGTGCGTCGCCATCGACCTTGGTCGTATCACTTCAAATATTTTTACAAGCAATAAAACCCTTGATCCAACATCAAGTGGTATTTTTCTCATAAAAAATTCAAAAACACAATAAAGATACTATCAGGGTTACACGCCACAAGCTTTAAAGTGGTGGAGAAGGAATGAGAATGGAACCCTACTACACTTGTCCCGAATGTTTTGAATACAAGGCGCTCGACTTGGTTATTCGAAACATTCATCTCTATCCAAAGTCTTTAGTGTGATCCAAATCAAAAGCAATTTCTTATAGAAAAAAACCTAAAAATAACATCAACTCATCAAACTTCTTTTCACCTTAGGGCATCAATCCGAAAATCCTTTTTCAAGGTATAAAATCAACCAACATATAATCATTTCACAAGCCTCTGAACTATGGAGCTCTGATTCTTCACTTCTTTTAAGTGAGGATACGTAGGCACAAGGGCCACAATCCTTGGCGAGCACTCTAATAAAAAAACCTAACCCTTTTCCTTTTAGCAAGCAAACTTTTAGATTAAAAACACCCATTCAAGCTAGACAACCTAGAAGGTTCCCATCGAGTACGATGGATGCGAGGGGGTGCTAATACCTACCCCTCGCATAACCGGCTCCCGAACCCTAAAACTTGGTTGCAATGACCATGCTCTTTCCATAAAGGTTTTACCGTTATTTCCCTTTCCCTCCTTGGGATAAATAAAATCCGATGGTGACTCTGTGTCATTTTTCGCGTAGCGACAATAGGGACATATCAGATGAACCCCCTCTGAAAGCCTATGTCTCGGCATCAACAACCTCACCCTCTGGAGGTGGCACCAGATCAACAGGAGATGACACAGGTGCATTCCGACACATGCGAGTAGGGTGGAAATAGGTTAGGTTATGCTTTAGAAGGTCCGAGCTATGTCTATGATAAACTTACAAGGCATGAGTCTGGCCTATGCCTACTATAGGCTCTTTTTTTTTAGTCTAGCCTGGCCTCTTTAAAAGTCGGGTCTGTCCTGTAAGCCTATTTAAAAGCCTGTTGCTTATTAAGGTTTTCAATTAATCCATATTACCTAAGAAGCTTTATACGCCGATCTATATATGCATACATAGGCTGACCTATTTAGCATTTTTTTTCTAATATATATATATATATATATATATATATATATATATATATATATATATATATATATATATATATATATATATATATATATATATATATATATATATATATATATATATATATATATATATATATATATATATATATATATATATATATATATGACATGCTATTTAGCACTTTTTCTAATATATATATGCATATATAAGTCAGTGTATTTAAACTATTTTTAATATATATGAAAATATAGTCCGGTCTATAATGCTTCATAGGCTTTTTAATAGCCTAAGCCTAACCTATTTAATTAAGTAGACTTTTAAAAAAGTCTAAGCCTGATTTTTTTATTAAATAGGTCTGGTCTAACCTGACCTTAAATAGGCTAGGCTATAGGCCCCTGTAGGCCGGTCTGGCTTATTCCCATCCCTACCTGCGAGAGGAAGGGGGGAGTGACGCGTCATCTGGTGCATCTCGTCTCCTGCGGGAAGAAAAAGAAGAAAAAGGTGGGGTGACCTGAGATGTAGATGGAGTATCCTAAGATGAAGTATCCTAGCAGTCGACGCCTCTTCCTGACCAGAGGTACATGGTGCATCCGCTCCCGCCGAACGAATGTGTGCTGGAAAACTCGCCAAGTCTCAATCGGTCGGCTCTGTCAGCCATTATGTCTGCAAGGTAAAATTAGTCGTATAATGAATTTACGCAAAAGAACAACACAAACAAGAATATTATAAAACAAACAGACTGAGGAAATTCTAGAGATATATCTACATAAACATTCTGGAGATATATCTCAGGAATTTCCCAAAGTACATGAAATGTTAATTTTTTCGGAGATGTATCTCCGAAATTTTCTGAAACTCAGAGGTCGCGACAATGACGTCCTGTGTTATTCAATGAGTGAAAAATAAAGCTTTGACCGTCCATTTGAGATAACAAACAATACATGCACTTACTCTAAACTCTGTTTCATTTGATTTCTAAATATTTCGACACCTAACAATAAATTCTAACTCGTTTACAACAAAACTCGAATATTTACCGAAAACTCGAAAAAAAATCCCTGAAATTTATGATTTGGAAGATTTTGAATGATGAAATGAATGATGATTGATGATTACTTGAGTCTCGGACGGATGAAATACAATTTGGTGAAGTTGGAGAAATTTGGGAATGAGAGAATGGAAGAGTTTTGTGAATGAAAATGAAAAGTGTGGGATGAGAAGAGTCTGACGCGATAATAACCTTTAAAATGTTTCAGAGATATATCTCCGAAATATTTCAACGCTCACTTATGTTTAGGTGCGTCCGGAGATATATTTTCGAAATATTTTAACATTCTATTGAATTTTGATGCATCCGAAGATATATCTCTAGAATCAAAGAACATATGTGAAAAGTCACATGGTGTGAAAGAAGTCCATGAGATAGAAAAAGAAATGCTCAAAAGGAGACAGACTCAGATTCTAATGGGTCATGGGGTCCGATGGACCAATCCGACCCTTATTTTAATATTTTAGTTTAAATATATAAATAAATTATGAAATATTTGATCAAACTCTAGTATTATCGATAAAATTTTAGCATGTCATAGATGGACCAACCCAAACCTTTGTGCATTTTTTGATTATAAAAAAACAATTTATACTTTATTTTCAAAACATCATTTTTCACATCATAAATATAATGAACAAAAGCTTCACAAACATGAGTAGAGACTAATCAAACTTAGTTAAATGATATTTTAAAATATTCATCAAATTATCATCCTTAAATTAGTATCCATTCTGAATTTCGTGGTTTCCTGCAATCATGCACTACCTATTATGTCTATTTCACATTCTGAATTTCGTGGTTTCCTGCAATCATGCACTACCTATTATGTCTATTTCATTTATGTAACTGAAAATTTGAAAGTAACTACCGATAAGAACGTTTTACTCAATGCATTGGTAAATTAGGCACTACTACTAGTTATACTAGATTTCATGAATCCTCTTTTTCGAAACCAAATGTCTTTCTATTCCATTTCTAAAACACGACAAACCTCAACAACACTTTCATCACTCTTCAACCTCTTCACTGTTTCTCCATCCTCCTATCACTCATCAGCCATCCAACAATTCGATTACTGTTCTCCGTCACAAACCAGCTACGGTTATTCTTCACTACTCCAATCATGTATCGATTCCAAGGCGTTAAACCAAGGGAAAGAGCTCCATGCTCAATTGTGCCATTTGGGTATTGCTTACAATGAAGGCTTGGCCACTAAACTTGTCCATCTTTATGCGGTTTCCAATTCTCTTCCTAATGCACGTAACCTGTTTGGCAAAATTCCCAAACGGAATTTGTTTCTGTGGAATGTTTTGATTCGGGGTTATGCATGGAATGGACCCCATGATACTGCTATATTGCTATACCATGAGATGCTTGATTATGGGCTCAAGCCGGATAATTTTACTTTACCGTTTGTTCTTAAAGCTTGCTCAGCACTTTCTGCAATTGGAGAGGGAAGAGGCATCCATGAGTATGTGATTAAAAATGGGTGGGAGAGGGATGTTTTTGTAGGCGCGGCTCTTATTGACATGTATGCCAAATGTGGTTGTGTAACGGATGCCGGTCATGTGTTTAATAACATTGTTGAGAGAGATGCCGTGTTGTGGAATTCTATGCTTGCAACTTATGCTCAAAATGGACACCCTGAGGAATCGCTTTCTCTTTGCCGTGAGATGGCAGAAGCGGGTGTGAAACCTACCGAGGCAACTCTTGTGACTGTTGTTTCGTCTTCGGCTGATATTGCTTGTCTCCCTTATGGGAGGGAAATCCATGGATTTGGTTGGAGACATGGATTTCAATCCAATGATAAGGTTAAAACCGCTTTGATTGATATGTATGCAAAATGTGGTTCTGTGAAGGTTGCACGTGCTTTGTTTGAGCGGCTTTGGGAGAGAAGAGTTGTTTCCTGGAATGCAATTATTACTGGTTATGCAATGCACGGTCTTGCTGTTGAAGCTTTGGACTTGTTTGAAAAAATGAGGAAGGAGGCTCGTCCAGATCATATAACGTTTGTTGGTGTTCTTGCGGCTTGCAGTCGAGGGCGTTTGTTGGATGAAGGACGGGCCTTGTACAACTTGATGGTGAGGGATTATGGTATCAATCCTTCAGTTCAACATTATACATGCATGGTTGATCTTCTTGGTCACTGTGGTCAACTGGATGAGGCGTATGATCTTATAAGACATATGAGTGTTAAGCCGGATTCTGGTGTATGGGGTGCTTTGCTGAACTCATGCAAAATCCACGGGAATGTGGAGTTGGCTGAATTAGCTTTAGAGAAACTAATTGAGCTTGAGCCAGATGATTCTGGCAATTATGTGATTTTGGCTAATATGTATGCTCAATCAGGCAAGTGGGAAGGAGTGGAAAAATTGAGACAGATAATGATTGACAAAGGAATAAAGAAAAACATTGCTTGTAGTTGGATTGAAGTAAAGAACAAAGTGTACGCATTTCTTGCAGGAGATGTTTCACACTCAGATTCTGATGCAATATATGCAGAGTTGAAGAGGTTAGAAGGACTAATGCATGAAGCTGGATATGCCCCGGATACAGGATCTGTTTTCCATGATGTGGAGGAAGATGAGAAGACGAGTATGGTATGCAGTCACAGTGAAAGACTAGCTATTGCATTTGGACTCATAAGTACATCACCAGGAACCCGGCTTTTGATAACAAAGAATCTCCGAATTTGTGAGGACTGTCATGTCGCAATTAAGTTCATCTCAAAGATTACAGAGAGGGAAATTACTGTAAGAGATGTTAATCGCTATCATCATTTTAAGCATGGCATGTGTTCATGTGGTGATCATTGGTGATGAGGATGCTGTCCAGTCGGGAAAACTGTCCAAATCAACAGTCTCTTACATAGGAGTTTTGTCCAAAATAATTGAGTTCATGTTTATCCCATAGTTCTCTTTTATTGTGAGCTGATGGGAAAGTGAAAATTCTCGGCAGTGACGGGTTTTTAATTGTTTTTACTCCAGATGAAGGTTAAGGTCAGAGGCTCAGCTTGTGTTACAACGACGATCATTAAGCCATTCTTGCAAAAGAAATACTTAATGGTACAAATTTGAGAATGGAATTCTAGAAATGACATGTGGCATCGTATCATTGAAATCAATGACTGTGTAATGCTAAATGGTGCAAAATTTGAGAATGGGTATCATAGCAATAGCAATTGCATGTGACATTGAACACTGAAATTAATAATGGTGGTGTATTGTTCTACTTAAGAATAAGATATCGTCAATCCGAGTGACTTTGAGAAATTCACTCTCAACTTGCTCTTATTTATGTTCAATTTATGTTCAATATTTATAATTAGGACCCTAAATTAAAGAGTGGAAATCAATATACTATCAATCATACTTCATATATACTTATACTTCATATATACTTATGACATTGTCTACTGTGTGCACCATGGGAAACTAAGATTTTGTCTTTTTTTTTTCTTTTCAATTTTCAATCATTTAGCTGGAGTTTTAAACTCTTAAAATTTCAGTGTTTATTTATTTTATTTTTTTGGTTTTAACATTGAAATTCTTTTACTGAAATTCTGTAGGGGTTTAAAATTTTCTACTAAAAAGTAAATAATAAAATGAAAATTAATTAAAAATAATAATATAATAATATAATTTATATTTTACACGCGCGTGAGTATTATAAAAAGCGAACAGACGGAGTGTCCGTCTGGACGCTAGTAAATAAATAGAGAAAAAAAAATTAAAATAAAAGTGAGAAAGTGTGGGGAAAATATGTGATAGAGATTTGAAATTTGAATCAAAAGACAGAATGAATGGATGTAATGTTTAATTATAATTTAATTGAGGAGTGTTTGAAAATCATCTATACCTACTTGTAAAGGAAAAACATAATTTTGGTGTAGCTTTTTTTTCTTCTAAATATACCATTTTCAGTTTTTACCATTTTCAGTTTTTATTTTAAATCTAACTTCTCTTTTTAACAAATGGTGGTATGTGATAGTTTATTATCTTTTATATCATTATCTACTATTATTATTTTATAAATAATAAATAATAAAATGAAAATTAATTAAAAATAATAATATAATTTAATATAATAGTAGTAGATAATAATATAAAAGATAATAAACTATCACATAACCACTATTTATTAAAAAGAGAAATTAAATTTTTAATAAAAACGGAAAAGAATATATTTGGAAGAAAAAAAACTATACCAAAATCACATTTTCCCTTTATATATAGATATAGGTTATCACTATAAATACTAGTAATCTATTTTTTAATTTTAATAAAATTCAAAATTTATTTTATCTCACGAGTTACTATCTACACAATATCTATTTTATTTTAATTAACTATTGTCTTAATTTGAGAGACAAAATCTTATTTTTAAATATTTATTTTTTCTTTAACCATCTCATAACTTTTTTATTCTTTTTGTATGATTCTTTAATACAATTAAATTTATATGATTATTGTTCATTTTACAATTAAGTAAATCATTTTAAATTTTAAATGTGTATTTAAATATATTTTATATCGTATCAAATAATTTTTTTTAATCTCACGGGTCATTATCATCACAATGTTTATTTTATTTTAATCAACAATTTTTCTAGATTCGAAAGACAAAAACATTATTTCAAAATATCAAAATTTTATTTATTTTTTCTTTCTTTTTCTCACGAGTTATTTTTTTCTTTTTTTTGTATAATTATTTAATAGAATTAAGTTTATATAATTACTTTTTATTTTATAATTAAATAACTAATTTCAAATTTATATCAGTAAATAAATATATTTTATATTATATTAAATAAATTTTTTATTTTATAGGTCACTATTAGTACAATATATATTTTATTTTAATCAATAATTATTTTAATTTAAAAAATAAAATCTTTATTTTTAAATATTAAATGTTCATTTTTCTTTTATTTCACGTGTCCTTTTTTCTGATGCATTTAAATATAATTGAGTTTATATAATTTAAAATTATCATATTAAATAAATTTACCTGTGGATCGCACGGGTATCTAGCTAGTGCTAAATGGTGCAAAATTTTGAAAATGGATATCATAGCAATTACATGTGACATTGTACAATGAAATTAATAATGATGGTGTATTGTTGTACATAAGAATAAGATATCGTGGATCCTGAGTGACTTTGAGAAATTGACTCTTAACTTGCTCTTATTTAAGTTTAATATTTATAATGAGAACCTAAAATTAAAGAGGAAAAATCAATATACAATTAATCATACTCCATACATACGTATGGCATTGTCTAAGAGACCAAGATTTTGCCCTTTTTTCTTTTTAATTTTCAATCATTTAGCGGGAGTTTTAAACTCCCTAAAATTTCAGTGCTTATTTATTTTATTTTTTTAGTTTTAATATTGGAATTCTTTTTAACACTGAAATTTTGTAGGAATTTAGAATCTTCTGCTAAAAAAATAAATAAATATTGAAAATTTGAGGGTTTTAAAACCCCCGTTAAATTGTTGAAATAGAAGATAAAAGGGGAAAAGTTGTTTGCGCATGGTTGTTGGGTGAGAATATGCATACAAAAAGGTATAGAAGAAGGGGTTGAATAAACCCTTATTCCCTTTAGAAAATTTGAAAAACTTTTTAGGTCGCATAAACGAAATTAGAGATTTTAAGAAGCGCAAAAGCAAAATATAAAAAACACGAGAGGTTGAAAGTATCTCAATGAATCAAGCCACATGAAATGATACATAAGGTTATTATGAGATCGATTGTTTATAGTGCAAGTTACATACAAGACAATTAAAGTCGCTTTAGATGAAGCGATTTAGAAACACACGACTTAGATGTTCTTAACAAAGTATAATTGGCTTCATGATGATTCTATAAGATTGATACACCACATACCTAAAATTATACATTAAAATATAAGCACGGTATAACCTATATGGCATGAAACAAATGTAATCATGCAATGATGCAACGACAAATATGAATGAATGCTTGCAAAATAAAAAAGGTAAGGGAAAGGAAAAGACACACAGAGATATATATTGCTACAAGGTTCCTTGTTTTGCTTACTACACACTTCAATGGATGATGTCATCGGAATATAATCATGATCTTCCACTATTTTGATAAAAGTGATTACAAAGAACTATCACATGATAATTCCATCTGTTGATGCATACGCTAAACTGCTAACAAAAACAAGATCCTTCAAAATCTTGATCCAATAACCTCATTATCCACAATAACCTGCTCCAAGTATTCGTGTGTGTCAATCGCCATGATTCCACTAATTTCTTGTCTGAGCAATTTCCATTAACTGAGTGCATATTGGACAACTCTCAACTTTGTCTGCGAGCAATTTTTTTTAACGCCGCCAATGAAGGACAACTTCTAACTCCGCCTTACGGACCGTTGATACTTAATCTCGCCAAAGTCTTCCTTGGAGTATATTAGAAACTCTCTTCTTGATAGATAATAACGTAATACCAAACTGCATTCAAGAAACGATACATGTACCTGTTATACAACAACTAACTTCACACAAAACATTAGATACCGTAATGTACCAGTAGTCTCCTTTATCACTCAATCTTTAGAGGAAAGGTCCACAATTAAAGGAGAAAGGCTAAGGATGAAGAGATGAACAGTGTGTGAGGGCAAAACCTCATAAATAGATGCGCTCGTTTCGATGATGTCAAAACTCAGCTCCATAGAAAAATGTAGGACGTTATCACCATGTCATATTTGCATGTCTTGTCTCTCATAAGTCAAAAACTCGTCAAAAACATGATTGTTGCATATAGAGATGGAAAAATCTATGTTTCATATAGGGTTGACTTAGTTGGTCTTGCTTGTCATACTATAGGGTTCATCAAAAGAGTCTTAATGCATGAAAATTGGCATTTTTGCCTATTTCAGGGCTTTGAGTTGACTCAAATCCTGCTCCGATCGACTCATACAGCTAGTCATTTCAATGAATTCCTCTCAGGAGGGCTCGCGTCGACCTTCCGGTCGACTCATACTGTGACCATTTGCATTTTTCAAAATGTGCATGTTGTGCATCGACGCATGACATGCTCCGGTCGACGCATGGTCCTGATTTTTGCATAATTATGTATACGGGTAAGCTCAGGTCGATCGCCTTACTACATAGGTCGAACGCTCGCTGTGTTGAGTCAAAATTCGGTTAATTCAAAACTGTTTTGGGAGTCTGTTTTGTTTGTTAAGTCAGTTATGTCTTGTATATAAGTTGAGTTGTGCTATTCCTTACACATCAACTAAGAAAACAAGAAAAGTGAAATTTATGTGTCGATTTGTTCTCATCATCTTCATTCTCTTCATAGCATTTCAAAACAACTACACATAATCATTTTTGTTGTGCATTGTGCATGTTCGAAGTGATAACGTCCAAAGCCGAATATTGGTTTAATCTGGTCTGGGTTGAGTAATCGACATGTCTTTCTTGAATAAAACCGTTAGGGTTTTTCCCTCAAAGAATCTCAATTTTTTTGGGGAGTTTTGCACGAATCGGTCCATCACAGATTTAGCCGAGTGAAGGTAATCGAATAGTGGGAGGTTTTGCCAGTTTAGTAGCGGTAAACGGAGGATTGTGAGTGGAAGATTCAGGTTCGACACGTGGGTGACTGAAATCAGCCGGGCCAGATTTGAAGACCGAGGTTTGTTCAAAGAGAGTGTCGTAGTCAGAGGTTTATTCACCGAGTTTGAAGGACTTGATTCAACTTGAATCAAGGGGCAAGAAGAAATAGGCTCTACAACAACAAATTGTATTCGATTGTTTGATCTCTATTTGCTTCTTGTATAAAC